ATGATTTCATATGTGTAACATAATTTCGCCACTTCCTCGAACTACAGCTTTGAAACGACAACAGGACTGAGTATATCGTAATTTTTTCTGAAAAATACAATCAATTAGCTTCAAAACAGTACCAAAATCATTGTGGGTTACATAGTACATATGGACGATAGAGATTTTCGAAAATAAAAAGTTTTCATATGTTTTACTAGTAAAATTTTGTCTCGTACTTATACTTTTGTCAGGGGGGTGTACTTGAATGGCAATGGAAAGAAGGAATTGGATTGTTACAGACTGGAAGAAAGTTATATGGTCGGATGAATCTACTTCCTCTCAGTTGCGGTGGCACTGAGAAAACACAATCTTCAGCCTTCAAATGTTCACGAACTTGAGAAAGCAGTAAAGAAAAGTGGAATGTGCTTTTGCAAAAAATATATCGTGATTTGATATTATCTATGCCCAACCGGATTCAGGCTGTGATTACTGCAAGCGGAGAAAATACGTTTGCTTTAAGTAAATAAAATTTTTTCAATATCTCAAATATAAAAGTTTGCAATACCCCTGTACCTCTACTAATGTTGAACCTACAAACGACAATTATTGGTCGGTTTTATAATACTCAGGATGCTAGATCGGTCTCCCCCAAGTTATTATTTAACTTCAAGTTCTATGTCTTTCTTTCGATGGGATAATTTTGAAAGCCTATAGTCGGGGAAATTTTACTACACTAAACGCGTTTATATAATAACCCTGATGTCAAAGATTCTACGAAATCGACTCCGTTTACCGCTGAGCGGATTAAATTTAATATTTCTAGGAAAACTACGACTGCTTACATATCTTTCTGTCGTTTCACTCAATTAATTTGCTGACAGAATATTTTGATAAAACGGATAAATAATATCTCATCAGAGTGACAGAATATTCGGTTGATAACTCTGTCGCGCGCATACTGTACAGTTCCGAAAGTAAGCATCCCCCGAAATTAAGCACCTCACTAAAATTTTCACCTCCGAAAACAAGCACCACCCCACAATCTTTCTAAATGTTTCTATACGCATGTGGCCCCCTATATAGTTAAAGGGTCGGAACTATACGGTATATGTACTGCAGAATATATCTGCAGTTTTTGCGTATGGTCTATGCAAATGACAATACTTTGAATTATACATTTCGTAATAAATATGTTGCATAACAACTCGCTGCAGTTCTTAGTAGCTTTTGGCCTAATAATATGATCACAAAAATTGAATCAAAGCAGAGGATTACACAAATTTAAAGCCTCTGGGGTTACAACGACGCATATACGCGTAGACAAAAAAAAAGCTGCAAAACCAATAGAAGAAACTCCTATTCTTTAAATCACAAGTAGTTCTTTGCTTTCTAACAGCGTCAGAGTGATAGGCACCTATTTATTACATTGATACCATTAGTCGTATGGAGAATACATATAAACAGTCAATACATGATAACATTTAGAATTTATTAAAGTGAAACCGTCCCGTTGCATATAACTCGCTTGTTTTCGTCTGCCCTTCTGTGTTTCTGGCGTGTTACATCATGTCATTTTCATGCTCCCGAAAGTATTATAGTCGACACTTTTATACACTAGTCCAAACTAATCCATTCATGTTAGTTATAATGGCAGAAAATGCTGTACAGATCATAATAGTGTCGGCCTTCAGCTCACTTCTTGTCCTGGCATGCTCTCAATCAGATTGGAATATGATTTACGAGGAATCAGGGCCCATTCCTCTTTTAGAGCAATCTCCAACTCCGTGGCGTTTTTTAGCCGCCTTTCCAACTGGATTGAGGTCAGGAGATTGAGACTCAATTTACCGTCTACGCATCCGTGAGTAGAAAAGCCTGTGTGTTAAAGGTCACTAACTACCATTTTATTTAACTAAAAAGTAGGAGGCGCCAGTTCCGCTCGAAATTAGCTAAATCCTTAGAGTCAGAGTCAATAATCGATTGCTCTCCCACGGTTGTGTAGACTCAACAATAACGCTTCAAAATTTACATACACAAACTGATATAAAATTGGTTTACTGCTGTTACACTGGATCTTGCATAAAGTAAAAAAAAAAAAAGCTCTTTTTTCCAGGGAGTGTAAACCTAGCTTTAGCATTTATACAGTGACTCTTTTTATGGTGGAGACAAAAAATCCTACACTATAACGAGATATTTACAAAAAAAGAAATCTTACCAAAATTATCAGCAGTATTATTGTTCACGTGTTATTAATGTGAAAGAACCAAAAAGGGAAAAAGCAGGGGTAACGGTAAACATTATAAAGGTGACGTATCATATACGTGGGGTGATTTAAAAGTCTTGCAATTGATCTAATCCAAAAACGGAAACTGCAGGGCGATGCGAATTCAAGCGGGAACTTATTTGCTGGTTGTCGAGAAATTCTGGTTTTTTTTTTACACCTTACCAAAACGATTGAGCGAAGAGAACAGCGATTCCATATTTTTGTTTCTTGGAAAAACGGTCGCTGGGATCGCTAAGTTCAAGGGTGACGAAACAGACACTCAGGAAGCATGTGCAAAATGGGTTCCACACAAGCTCACAGCAGATCATAAAGAAAAACGTGTGGAACTTTCTAAAGCAACTGCTGGAAGTACTTGAGAAAGGCTACAATAATATTATTACTGGCGATGAAACGTGGATGTATTTATTTACCGTTTCGAGTAAAGAAGACAACAAAGAATGTTTAAGGAATGTCATAATTACTTGGTTTGGTGAAATAAATTTAGACACGCAGGACTTTTAAATCACCCCACGTACACTATAGCAATCGATTAAAAAAATTAATCAGTGACTATTTATGGAACCCCTTATACAGTAATAATTTAGTTTAAAGAGAAAATGATTTCGAGCAATTCAAGAGACACAAAAATTTGATGCTTTAAATTGTTTACTATTACGTGATATTAACATTTTATAGTTACAAAATCAATCATTTTGTTGTAAATATCTTACTACATTCATGAATCCTTCCAAAGCATTATTTACTTTTACCAAGTATTTTGACTCTTCATTATTCTTCGGCTCTTGAGCTTCTTCACCACCTACAAACTTGACGATTTCCTCATCTGTCATTTTTCAACCAGAATATATTTCTATCCCTAGGCTGCGAGTGATCCATATCTTCCGTTTTTTTCTCCATAACAAAGAAGAAAAACTTCAATGACTATTCCTCCATATACTACACAATATATATTGTAAACTCCATATATCTATTTGTACTATGTACACAATATAGAGACGCGTCTCGATCAATCGAGCCCACTCCTCCACTATCAATAATTCTATATAAATACATTATATAGAGCTAATTTAATTAAAAAGTTTCTCCACAATAACCAAATCCACTGTATGTAGCTTGGGAATAAAGTTACACCATTCATTCCTTATTCTTGACTGTAAATAAAATCTTGCACTATTCATTCTTGACTATAATGTTTAAACTTACTAACAGCCCATTCAGCACCTCTACCCTTTAATCCCTTGTCATATATCTCCGGACAAACTTGCGAATAGGTACAATAATGAGAACTTCAGGAATAAGTTAGCATAACTATAACTACAAAAATGTCTGGTTTCTCGTTTTACATAACCCTAATATCGCTCTATGAAGTTGACAGAACGAATCAATCGGTTATACAGGATATTATTATTATAAGCGAAAACCGATTAAGCTGAAACATTATTATTGTAAGCGAAACCATACTGCCGGCCCGAATGTAATAAATTCTACCAATAGAATCGCTTTTAAAATCTGACGCCCAGTTTCTGAAAATATAACTTTTTGGGGAGTTGAAAGGTTTTGAAGTCATGCCATTTTATTGTGCTTTCCCGCACCATATGTATTCTATAATCTCTTCTGTACAAAAAGAATAACTAGAAGCACTCAACTATTCGGTATTGACGTATAAATATGTGCGGCATTCGGACCCTACATATTTGGATAAATTATTAAGAGATTCTTCGATTGAAACAATGCTTGAAATAACAAACCTTCCGCCAATGGGAGAGGAACGGCTTAGCTATAGCAGCAAACAGCAAGCCAGTCGTTATGACAATATACATATAAACAATGGCTTCATCTTTGTATGAATCACGCTCTATATCATCAAATCGAGGAATGACAGTATTAGAGAATATATCATACTCGTGCTTTTGCTTATTTGATCACTATGATAATAAGCCATTATCAATGCTCATTACATCTCGGTGGACTACAGGACAGAAGAAACAGTCAGCGACTTACCAAAGCATGTTGCAGTGAACTCTGTCCCACAACTGTTGTCATCGATAGGATTGCCTTCTATAGTCTTTAGTCCACAGAAATCTTTTCCTAATTGCTCTTCACAAAACGCTCTTGTGCAATTTGCACATTCGTTCTTTGCGTTCGTCTGACTTAAAGGTATTATTTGTGGCGGTTTACCAATGCAAGAACACTTGCAGAAAGAGATAATGTTCGCCCCTTTCGTACTTCGAACGATAGTAAGCAAGAACAAGAGCGAAATAGTAATCAAAGGCCATTGAGAGCGAAACTGTCCGAACATTTTGTGAAAACAAGATATGACGCCACAAATCAGCCACAAGTATGTGTTAAGTATCGGTATTACCTTCAGTAACTAATAAGACAAGAATCAGCGTACTAGGCGTTCTTTCTCATGTCAAAATTTGCGTTGTCTAATTAAATTTTAGTATTTTGAAACGTAATATTAACATAGACAAGGATTTTCACTCTTACAAAAGCCAACATTGCCCTGTCCTACTTTCTCGGGAATGACACTGTTAAACAGTTCGCCTTTAGGTTCGGGCTTGGATCTTCTTATAACGTCTATGTACGTATCATTAATCTTAAACTAAACGCAAAGTTTATTCAATACTGTCCAGCAGCAGATGAAGAGAATTCATTGAATACTTAAATGCCACTATTTACTATTGCGTGTGTCCAACTTTATATAAGACATTCCTAATACATTGTAATACAGTCGACTTCTGTCTATTCACAGTCTGTCTATAGTAATCGCTGTCTCCTGACAATACTGTTTTTTATAAACACTAACCTATGAGAAGAAAAGAGACAAATGAAAAGAAAAAAGAATTAATGACTGAAAGCAATTGTCTATGATTCCATCTCTCTATAATCGGCTGCTAAAAAGGTGTTTGTAGACAAGGGTTGACTGTAACCAATTTGAATTATCGAAACGTTCGAAATCTTATCTAGAAACATACGTTGTTATCGGCCATCAAGTCCGTGCTAAAAGGAAGTAGGATTAAATAAACTTTTGAGTCAACATCAAAACCAACGATGCAATATTCACAAAACACTCAAATCATTATATCAAATCTGTGAAATTAAAACAGTACATTTCGGGTTCGGTAAACCCGATCGACTTGTTCACATATTAATATAGCAATGAACGGTGTTAAGTGAAGCTAACTCCACCAGTCAAATTCAAGATCACGTGACCAAAAGTTACATCTCTTTTAGGTGATTTGGAACGATCGATGGTTAATTATAATGAATGTCTTCAACTTAGTATTCCGAAACTAATAAAGCAAAACTAGCACGTATTTTAAACACTTTTTTTTTTGTTATTTATCATAAAAGAGTGATTTGCATGCCGCGTTTAGAATACTCTCTCGCTTACTTTTTTGAAATGTCCATGATTTTATTATAAAAACGTATTTGATTATCAGTCACTTTTTGCTTTTAAAAATACTTGGCTAATGTTACATTCGATCAAATAGTGAATAATATGAAAATTACTAAATAATGTCTCTCGATCAAAAAAAAACAAACAAAACATTCCATTCCATAGTATACAAAAATTATAAATTTACTCGGTTCTAGTTTGTATTAAGATAGCGGAACTTTGTAAGGACATTGTAAGTCAGGTTTTCCTGCAGTTACTGTTGGTTTGTAGATCTTACTAATACCCCAAATAAATAGCTGGAAGTCAGCCCTGACGTTAAGAGTGGACGTTGTTGTTCCATTTTTAGTAGTGCAAGCGTTTATGAAATCATTAAGAGTCTCATCGTTGGAATTCTTTCCAAAGTATAGAATACTCATTGGAATGGGTAGATCAGTATCAGTTCGTGGAGTGAGAGTATAGTCAGTGAGCTGCCCAGTAGCCACAGGATCACTATTGGATGCTGAACTAGAGTCGAACATCTGTTATGTACAAAGAAGAGCGCGAAAAGTGAACAGATAGAACAAACTTCAGAAGATAAAAAAAAACAACCAAACTCTTGCAATATCAATAAACATTGTCAGAAGAAAAAAAACAACGGCCAACTTCTGTCGTCACGTCTTCGTCATTATGTTTACCTTCACATCAATTTTTTTGAATCTTATTGGTATCCAATTCGCTTGGTTTCTGAGTTGTACTTGTAAATTAAAGTTCATTTGCACTTCTGAATTAGTTTCACTTATTGTTGCGGTAGTACTAAAGTCGTCGGGAGTGGCACCCGTTATTTGTACTTCTGGTTTACGCGGCCATACAAAGAATAAGGCGACAGCTAAGACAAGCAAGATGATGAAGGTAATAAGCACACACGCTTGTCTAGAGCAGCATCGTCTCTTCTTCGACTTTTCAGCCTTCTTTTGTGTAGCAGCTATTGATTCTCGAGGTTTCTCATCAGAACCGGGGTTTGCTGCAGCACGATCCCCCGACTGTGCACTGGTTTCGTCAGTCGGATGTCCTAAGGTATTCATTCGTCCTGACCCTTCGTTGTGGAAGTTGTCTTGTGGTATGCGGGCGTTGTTGAAGTCGTTATACACATCGTATTGACCATAAAGATCGACTGGGCGGTAATTGTTTCCATAATATCCACCTTCCACGGGTGAGTGGTTCTGTTCTTCGTTCATATTATATGGGTGACGGAATGTATCCTCTTCTTCGTAGCCTGCTTCATATGGTTGCTGTTCTGGTTCAGGGGTAGAAGCTTGACCGAAATTTTTGATGTTATTATTATAATGTTGCTGATAGTTCTCGTATGAATTGGTCTGTTCGTAGTGACCGGCATCTTCATATCCCCTACGATCGTAAGCGACATAAGGCTTTTCTTCTTCATCAGGTACCGCCTGATCACGTGTCTGATTGTGTCTGTTAGTTTCAGAAGAAAAATCTTGTACATTTGGTGTTGCTATGGCACTCGGTTGCGAATATATCGAGGAGACCACTGAATTTGTGTCATAGTCATCACCTCTAGTGTGATGAACAGCATCTGTTTCATGTGCGGGAAGACCGTCACGATACGATGCTGAACCTATAAATTATGCCGGAATTATTATAAGCTTAAGAATAACAAGTAGATATTTTTGTATCCCACATATTTTATGTATCCATATTGATAGTGAGAAATTACGATTATGTTCTTTCAGACTTTAATTTGATTATTCACCTGTTCTTGTCTGCAAGACTGACTGATCAGAGGCCGAGCTTCGGGCCTCTGGTCTATATCCCTCGTTTAATTGCTGTATGCGTTGATTACGTGCATAATCTTGACTACCTCTGTATTCTGAATATGATCCTTTTGTATACAGATGACTGTGATTATTATCATCAGACGACATATCAGGTACGAACTGTGGCTGATATGTGTCTCTTCTGTCCGTGTCGTTGGATGCGTGCGGAAGTGCTGACATGTATGAGCTTCCCATTAATTGCGATGGAGCGAAATCAGAGATGTTGTCTACAGAGCGTGTAGGACGTCCTAGGCGATGGGACTGTTCTGGATATTCGTTTTGTTGATATGACATATCTTTCGGGGTGTAGTGAAAGTGGAAGAAGTAGTGTGAAATCAATAGTATAAGGACGAGCGGGAATTAAAGGATGTAATCGCTACAGAGGGAATTATGCTGAGTGGTAAACCAGATATTGGAATTAGTGGGAATCGTGTACAGAAATGACATGGGTAACAGTACATATTAATATGTATATTACACAGATGATTTTCTGCCATATTAATATATACTGGATCCAAGTACATAAATTCAAGATCCCTCCAAATTGAACACAAGACTGTATATTGTGCCTTACCAAAATTTTACACAATTGGGTTTCGATTTTCCGTAGCCGAAAATCTGATCATGTGACCCTGAAGGGTGCAGGATTTTTTATTAGCACTGACCTCGAAAACCTAAAATAAAAAGGCTATTTTACGATTAATAGCTTCGGATTATAATATTAGGGTGCCGAGTAATCTATGTGAGAATACAACCACTGATTGTAATTCCAACCTAACCGAGTTTATATGCAAACGTACTGATACGACTGTGATCCCAGTTAGTCTGGTTATACTTTATTTGACAATACTGTAATATTCAACAAGTGAAATGGATCATTTAAATTGTCCAACTGTATTTGCAGAGCTTCTGCCTAACATTCGTTCAATGAATCTCTCTATCGGTCTTCCATCTCAAACAACTACCTTCCAACTAGGCGTATATCCCCGTAAATTAACGTTCACTTCTCCCATGTTCTTCTCTTCTCTTGAATTGTCCCAAACAATTGAGACGGATGTAGAACCTGCCCTTACTTCCGCAACTTCTTCTCTTGAAGTAAAACTGAAACTACGGAATTATATCCGGCGTAAGCCGTTTAGGCACGTAAGCGGTAGCGAAGTTGTCCCACCGCTTACTGCTTGCGATCTTGTCAATTTACGGAACGTGCTATGCGGAAGTTGCGGGCTGGTTATTGTTAGGGATGGAGCGCTTGAGAAAATAATGGATTTGCCTTCCGAGCATTGGGCCGAGCTTCTTGAGTGCTGGATGTGCCATCAGGAGGATTATAAACAGGCCCAAGTAGGGGAATTAAATGCAAAGGAGACCATTGGACTTGTTGGTGGGACTTACATACTAATGCATCCGAAAGACATCGAAGATGCTTTGGTAGTCGAGGGGTTCACTAATGTTAATGTAGGTGAGTTGTTATTACTCTTGGGAATATTTTTGCGTTTGTCTGCTTCAGCTTTTGATTCCTTGTGGAATTCTTGTCTTATTTTTCATCCCACACATAATTTTGGACTTGCAAGAAGGCTCTGATCATGAGCTGTTGATGCTTGGCTGATATTCAAGTCCTATACTAATATGTGCCAGTCATTCATCTGTACAATAGAAGCTTTTTGTATTGCTATTATCCTGGTGCACATCGTCATTTTATGCTTAGCAAGATTTGTTGATTTATAAAACACGATTTTTTTGTTTGTCATGTACATAGTGGACAAATGGGATTCTATCCAACAAATGGATTTCTATGTGCTGTAGAAGATGCCTGTCTCCCATTGGTGAGGGGTTTTATTCAAAAGCAAATCTATCGAATCAGATGCAAGGCAAGTACATGTTAATCGCAATGAGATGATAATTTTGCTTTGTTAACCGTTTACTCTTTATTAATATTAAGAGGCTGACCTGCTAGCCGTTAAGTTAAACAAACACTTGATCACGGTTGTGCTTGAAGAAGCAGGCCGGTAAGGTTATTCGCAATCCTGTACATTACCTATATTTAATTACAGAAGTTCTTTGTAATGCCATTTATAGACTGGATACAATCAAGTGTAATTTTACTGCATTTTTGGCAGCCGACTTTCTAGATGCTGCTAAATCACATGCCACATACAAGTTCATTATTGAGGGAACGATATCAAAGGGTCCATACATACTGGTAAGCAATAACCAAGCCTAGAGCATGCAATTGCTAAAGTTACATTAACAATACTGAATATTGTTAGGTATGGCTTTTTGGTTGGGACACGAAAATGATGACAAACGCGCTCGAGGGAATGAAATCGTTACGGATGTTCTCACGTGATATTACTGATGATATTGGCAGTGTTATTCCACAGCACATGAAGATTACCCCAGTTATGAAGATGCTTTATATCGATTGCACCAACCAAAACGATAGCACTCGTAGCCTTATGACCGCTTGGGACCATGATAAAACAGTCGAACATCTCGTGTACCATGATGATATTTGTTTACAGCTATTACTGTTATTACATACCAGTAATTATTGTCTTGCAGAGAGTAATCGCGTGATGAATGGATTTCGTGTTGGATTCATGGAGCACAACAAGGACCAAGAGTAGTAAAATATACGATAGTATCCTCGTCTCGGTAAAAGTATAACGGTTGTTGATCTATTGCTATGCTTTTCAATTCGCTTACTAAAATACTATAATATGTCAAGTTACTAAGTTATTAATTAGTACCGGCTTTTTCTTTGCGAACCCTAATTAAAATTTTCTAGTGACGACATCTAGAACACTGTCCAATACATTAAAAGTTTTAGTTTTGATATTAATAATTGAAGGATTCATGTTGTCAAAACAACACACTCTCAACGAGAAGGAAAGTGAACATAACACTACAATGAGTCAATCTTGATAACTTATTCAATGATCTTTCCATTTTGCTTCTTCATTTAGCCACCAAGTGGCGTGATCTACGTAAGAATTTTATTTATCCAATAATATTGAAACTCGCCTTAATATTGCCCAGGATAACCGTTTGCGTTACATCGGCCGATGGCGCTTGTGCATTCTTTCGGGTAACTCTATTAATAATAAACCCAGAACAGTACTTATTATAAAATTTTTATTCGTTTGTAGCACAAGTTAAGCCATCTTTCGTCACAACTTCTTCACACCAAAGCAATTGTTTTCTCGTTGATTCTGGTTAGTATGAAACTTTGACGTACTTCCTCAATCTGTCATTATAAGATCGTTGAGGGTGTAATACCGTAATTGCATGCTTCGAGATTCAGTTGCAAAGGATTCAACAATCGGCTGACCTGTGCAAAAATAGACTTGGACAACATGAGCCACGAACGACAACGATAATACATATAGGAATGGTCCAACTCAGGTTCGCAATGAGTTGGTCAATGCAGAAGGGAACAAGCACTATCTCTTCGCACGATTTAAAGTTAGATTCATGCATTCAAAGGATAGAGATAAAAGCATTCTTGACAAGGCTCATCCTTGCGAAGCGGTGGCGTCAGAAAAGGTCGACGACTTCATCAACACTGACTCTTATATAGTATCACAGCAATGACTAGTCAGGTAGGCATTTCCCGTGAAAGCTTTACGTAAATAGTATACCGATACTGCCAGAAGTATTATGGAAAAAAGTCATGTTTCACTTGATAATGCTGCACCACATAAGTCAGTAATTGTATTCAAAGTAACAGCTAACACTTCTTCCCACTCTTCAATACTTGCTCCTTGTGATTTCTTTCTTATTCCTTCGAATCAAAAAGAACTGAAGGAAAAAAGCTTTAATAGTGTTGAAAGTTTGGCAAGGGCTGTTCAGGCAGTCGTTGACACCATCCCAAAAGCTGTTTATGAGAAGTCCTTCCAGAGTTGACAGAATTGTCTGCAACATTGCACAGATGTTAATGGATAGTTTTTGAATAATTGTATTTAGAATCATCAAAATAAAGGATTAACGACTAAACCTACGATTTCGCGACTTGGTACCTATTAATACGGTGTTAGTATTGATGATGTATAATTGGTGCAGACTTCTTAAATTAGTTCGGAGAGATCTAAACTAGATAAAAAAAATGGACTAAATCACGGGGATTAAAAATCGGCCGAGACATGAAGCACGAGCCGTAATGTTAACCTATAAAGTTTGTTTTATTCTGGAACTCTCACCAGTAAGATTGTCAAAAGCTACGTTATGTTATAGATCGTTAACAATATTTTTGGTTGTCCGTCAAATATGTAAACCATCCATACCCTCATCCTGGGAATTAAGAATCGCGAACATTGGAAAAAGCATTCTTTAATGTTAAATCATGTGATGAAACCAGCAGGTAAAAATATCAAGCAGAAATATTTAACGCGCCCGGGTAGAAGAATGCGCAGCATAATCAACTATAGCGTTTCCGTCTCCATAATGAGTATTCTTTTCATTATGCCTCAAAATAGATCTAGTTTTTTGCGTGTACTGGGAATTAGAATGCAAGTCGCCGTTATCGAGATGATCAATACATCAGTAAAGACCACATGACATTTACTGTCTTCGATTAAAATGGATATGATCATCCGATGCGAGCCGAACAGCCAATAAACTTTGTTGAATTAGCAGACAAATTTGTGAAGGGGGGCAAGTGATGGGAGTCAAGTACAGCCTTCCCTTATTTCCTTCCCCGTATATTAGCGTATAGTAATAATACTACTGTACTAACAATAGCGTTAACAATAATGTTCATAATAATTATCGCTATCGCTTGATTGCATATCCACATTCTATAATTGTGACTCCATCAGATTTGATTGCACTAGTATTACACATATTACACACATTATTATTCTAAAACTATTGAATTGGCTGATTCCAGTCTCGTCACACCAGCCGGATATTTGTACATATATATAGACACCGCATACCTCGGTCTAGTCTTTCATTCTTTCTTTCTTTCCCTCCTCCAAAAAACCAAACAACAATATTTTACTAAATATAAACTTCAAAAATAATGGCTCACGCACCACCCTCGGGAGGAGTACAACTGACGGAGTTCGTCAAGAGGCCTGGCCTTGGCCGTGAAGGACGCCCACTTAAAGTGCGAGCAAATTTTTTCGAGGTCCTTTCGCTCCCCCAACAGGACCTTCATCATTACGATGTGACAATAACGCCGGATGTCCCCCCGGCTTTAAACAGACGTATATTTCAACAGTTCGAGGACATGTATCGCGCCGACCTCGCAAATATAAAGACCGTGTTTGATGGTACGTTTGCTAATACTTGTCCAGTAGCTTGCTTCATGTGCGTCACGTGTTCTTATACAAGCGCGACTGATTGCTATCGGTTTGCTCGGTTGCACCGTTTTATTCGATAACCTGTGGCAAGGGAGAAAGCATCTATGTAGTCTGCAATTCGTGTTTATCGCCTCTTGATTTTAGCACCCTTTTTTACTTTAAGACACGCGTCGAATTTATTTGACTACATACTCGTCTCTAACCCTGTGCTTATCGTAGGTCGCAAAAATATATTTGCCCCCAAACCGCTGCCCTTTGGCGACGCGAGAACTTTCGAGGTGAGGCCAAATAACTTATCAACTGCACAGTATTTCAATAAAAAACAAACATATTTAGTTATGCGACGCGTTTGTTTCAAATAGCTCACTTTACCAGAGGACGATGGTATAACGAGCTCCAAGCGTCCGCCGAGGAATTTCGTCATAAAGATGAAAAAAGCGGGCGCCATCAGAATGGAGGTGCTGCACCGTTTTCTCGATAACAAACAAGGTTTGACGAACGATTGTCTAACCGGTAAGGGCGAGCTATCCCCGATGGTGGTATCTATTCCGTATTATATATTCATAGTTATCTGATAACTCCATCTTTATTCTCAGGTATAATGGCCCTTGACGTGTTAATCCGTCATAAACCATCTATGGAACATACAACTGTGGGGCGATCTTTTTATACACCACAAGGCTCTAAGCCTCTATTTGGAGGTGTGGAAGTATGGCAGGGATATTATCAGTCTGCCCGCCCTACGCCACGTATGCACTATTCTAGTCTTTGTATCTGTGGTTATTTAAATTAGTTCTTAACTTTTTTCCGGGAAGACAATTTATATAATTTCTATATATATATATTTTCTTCTCTCTACAGGAAAGATGATGATCAACATTGACTTGAGCGCTACAGCCTTCTATGAGGGCGGGCCTCTTGTTCAAATGGTAGCAAAGGTGTTGAACAAGCGAAATGTCGATGAGCTACGGAGAGGTTTAAACGACCGCGATCGTGTGAAGGTTGAAAAGGCGATCAAAAATTTGAAAATTTGCGTGACTCATCGTGGCGAGACGACCAAGAAGCGAAGATTTAAGATTATGAAACTTACACCAAGTCCAGCAAGCCACACAAAATTTGATGCGGGCGAACAGGGAACCATGGACGTCGCGACGTACTTTACCAAACAGTATAATACACGTTTGGGTTTTGCGTCTTTACCATGCGTGGTCGTGAGAAAGAATGTATTTTTGCCCATGGAAGTCTGCGAGGTCATTCCGGTAAGTCAAGTCGATACTATTCACTGACTGATTATTTTGCATATTCACAAATCTAATCCGGCTACTTATGAAGGGCCAACGTCATATAAGAAAGCTTAATGACCGACAAACGGCGGATATGATAAAATTCACGTGCCAACAGCCTCAAATGCGAGCAAATAAAATCCGACAGGGGTTGGACATACTGAGTTATAGGACAAATGAGTATATGCAACAATTTGGTATGCGTGTTGCAAACGAAATGACAGTCGTAAGTACACGTGTTTTTATATGGTACTTCCCACGCTGGTTCATCATCAATATAATAATATTCTAACGTTCACTCTATTTCCTAGGTTGATGCACGAGTACTACCAGTACCTACACTTAATTACCATGCATCGTCGACTGAGGCGTCCTTTGTTCCGAACGGTGGTGTATGGAATCTTAGGGGTAAGCGCGTGGCGACTGGAGCTACACTTGGCTCTTGGGCAGTTATCGCCTTTGATCGGGAAGACGATTTGCGGATGAATACAATCCGGGGGTTCGTTCAAGAATTGGCGGTGACTTGCCAGGATACTGGCATGGTTAGTAAAACAACGTAGAACTTAATGAATCGATATTTGAAAAAAACCATTGACAAAAACTTGCTATATTTTTTTTCCAGAACATCATGAATAAATCCCCACCAATTATGTACGCTAATCCGCAGGGAGACATAGAAAATGCGTTGAAGCAAGCATGGCTTCGTGCTGGAAATGCCGCTAAGGCACAGCCTCAATTAATTTTGTGTATATTGCCAAATACTGGTGTGCCGCTTTATGCTGAGATTAAGCGAGTGAGCGATACGGTAATTGGTGTTGCTACGCAGTGCGTCCAAAAGAAGCACACTATGCGACCGAACAAGCAATATTGTGCGAATGTGTGTCTCAAGATTAATGTAAAGCTTGGAGGCATGAACTCATTCCTCAAAGCCCAAGACATTCCATTCATTTCGGATCGTCCGACGATCCTTATGGGTGCTGATGTGACACATCCCGCGCCTGGTAAGAGATAATAATTGTTGTAATGCTAAAGTAATTCCTAAAATTCTAATCTGTTTCTATTGGTGTTGATAGGAGCGTCCAGTAACACTAGACCCTCCATTGCGTCCCTGTGCGCTTCCATGGACGCGAAGGCTTCAAGATACGCTGCATCAATCAGGGTGCAAGCGGGCCGTGAAGAAATAATTGTTGATTTAGTCAACATGGCCAAAGAATTGCTGAAAACGTTTTATCAAACATGCGGGCGCAAGCCAGAGCGTATCTTGTTTTATCGCGACGGTGTTTCTGAGGGACAGTTTGCCGCCGTATTAAACAGTGAGATCAAGGCTGTAAAAGGTAAGAATGAAGAGATACATATATATAGAATTCATTCGGTGGCATTAACAACTTCTGACTATATCTTGGTTTGGGTTTTTTTCCCCAATAAAGCTGCTTGCCAGGCGCTCGATGCGCAATACAAGCCGACAATAACATTTGTCGTGGTCCAGAAGAGACATCATACTCGTTTCTTCCCGATGAATAAGAACGAGAGTGATCGCAGTGGCAATTGTATGCCAGGAACGGTCGTGGAAACGACTATCATACACCCGTCCGAATTTGACTTTTGTAAGTATTTGAGCGTATAATTCGTGAAGAGTTCAAGCCTGATAGTAACCATCAACATCGTATTTCGTTACTTTCAGATCTTCAAAGCCATCCGGGTTTGCAGGGCACAAGTCGCCCAACGCACTATCACGTTTTGTATGATGAGAACAATTTCAACGCCGACAGGTAAACGTTATTACTGCTTGTGGTATGCGTGTTATTAACAACTGCGTCTTTCTGAACTATATATATTATTATTTACAATTAATCCAGCCTACAAACGTTGTCTTATAATTTGTGTTATCTGTATGCTCGTTGTACGCGAGTAGTATCTCTCGTAAGTGTTATTTTACGTTCAATTATTCACAATATTTCTAGTTGACTTATATTGTAACATACACTTGCAGGTGCCTCCCGTGTACTACGCGGATCTCGTTTGTTCTCGTGCAAGGTTTCATAGTCGGGGGGAGAATTGGTCCGATACCGAGTCGTCCGAGGAAGGAACGGGCTCCGCTTCAAGTTTTGGAGTCGTCAAACCTGACCTCCAAAAGGTACATACATATTTGGTTTGTTTGCTGCACTTTGTTTATACTTATCGATACTGACTTTGGTCTATGTCTTGTAGGTGATGTACTTCATGTGAAGACATAACCAGTAAATACTCCATGGCACCTTTAATTGACTTCTCTACAAGTCGATAGATTAGTGTATGGGATAGCAATCGCTTTAGTTTTTTGTAGAAAAGTCTGCTTTTTTTTTTTTTTTAATATTGCTGTGTACAGAAAAAATTTGTATGAAATAAAAATGGAAGTATTTCATCCATAAATAAATTCACGTGACATTGTAAGTAGAATCTCAGGGCCTGATTTTTTGATACCGACTTTTTTCGATGAATTCTCTTATTCTGCCGTATATATATCTCTCAAAAATTCAATATGGTCAAGCACTACGTCTACAAAATCATCTCGTTCAGGCTAGATTTAAACCACATGATGCTATAAAGAAGTCATTGAACAGGAACGAGTATTCGACCACTGATTTGCTTATATTATTACAACATCCGCATACATATACAACAGGAAGAAGAGACAAAGGGAGAACTTCAAAAGATGAGGAGAGATTACGGGGGCTTGGGGCCGACTATTATGAGGTATCATCTATTTATCCTCTTGTTTGTATATCAAGCATTTGAGACTGACGATATTTACAATGTAGTAGACTTTACGAGGCGGGCAAATGACATTCCATGGACCCGGCCAATTGGTTGGTTATCCTATTCTGGATTTGAACAATTACGAGGTATGTTACATTGACAAGTTAATCCGATACTGGGTCCAGATATTCTAATGCTTATCTTCTATCTTGTTGTTCCAAGCTATCTGTCAGAGACTACGTTGCAGGCATAGAACGCACAATTATAAACACTTGCGCTGAACTCGACATAGATGCGAAAGTGACAAAAGATACTGGCGTTTGGGTTGGAGACGAGAAAATATGTGCAATTGGTATTGATTATTTGTAACGCATGACGTGTAAAACGATTACATCTAACTGAATTCTAATCAGGTATTCAAGTGCGAAGATACCTGACGATGCACGGATTTGCTCTTAACTGTAATAATGACATGAGATGGTTTGAACACATTGTCCCTTGCGGATTACAAAACAAAGGAACAACATCTATTTCTCTAGTGAAGAATGAAGATGTTACTGTTGAGAACGTGATTCCAGTGTTATGTAAAAATTTTGGGCAGGTATTTGATAGAACAGTTAAGCCACTTGTAACGGTAAGAGATTCGTTTAGATACCTTGTCGAGTTGCTCGAATCATCTAATATCATCGAGGTACCATTGCAACAAGAGGATTAGTGGTGAAAACGCGCTATTATTCATCAGACAGTTTGTATTTCATTGAATATCTGTTACACTTTGCATCCAAGTAACTGATTCAATTAATAATTATCTTGGTTCGTATTAAATATCAAACGATGGATCTTCTAGTACATATATCTGAGTCATATGCATTATGACCTTTGAAACGTTTGAAATACTATATGAAGAAACAATACTTTACATCGTCAGTCTATTTATATGAACTGCGGTTATAGTCCAAATTAAGTCTATTCTAAATCTTTTGCAAGTCCCTTATTGTTTTTGTCCACATTCATCGTCCTTCCTGCTCGGCTGTTCGGTCTGTTGAAACCTGTTATCCCTCCCACCGAGCCCATATCCACCGATGAATGATTGCTATGGTACCCAACACCGCTACCTCCAACAGGTTGTATTGAATTACGTGGTGATGTTGTCGAAGGAAAGTTATATGCCCTTGGTATGGTTGATGATGAATAAGATAATAGAGATGCCAAATGAGTCACGTGGTCTAACTGCCCGGAATCCGAAGCCTCATATTCAATAATATTATCATCATTATTAACATCGTTCTTCCGTACACCGCCGAGCAGTAGGGATGGAGTGGATCGAGCACGGGTCGATGAATATCCTGGATTACCGTTGTTACTATTACCGCTCATTATATTAATGGTAGTCGAGCTTGTATTACGAGACTGTAATCCGTTCAGAGATAATGGGCCTGGCGTAGATGCTGATAAAACCTCAGCCTCAACAATGCCCTCGTGCGGACTACCCGGAGCAACACTATCGCCGCTCAACCTCTTCTTCGGATATCTGGATTGGAATACATTCTCGCCCACAGAAGTTTGAGACTCTTGAATAGCACTTCCTGCGTCTGTTGGTCGAAGATGGATGTCATCTTCGCCGGATATTCCACTCCCGAACACATGTTCACTGGAATCGGCCCCTTTTTTAGAGGAAAATGGTCTAAATTGTGGCTTAAACCGATTAATCCACACTTTCATAACGATATGCATCATCTTCACAGTGTTTAATATACGCCAACTAGGAGCCGAGTTAGATTGTCCTCCGTCTATAATGCTGTAATCGGAACTGTCTCGCCTACATGGCGATGAAAAGCACGCATGCAAACATGAAAACATCCTCCTCCTTACATTTCCATTCTTACGAAGATAGAAGAAGACTCCGCTTGTAAAAAATACCAGTAGAAATATCAACATTACAAAGTAGTTATCAAATACAAACGTCGAATCTTTTACATCAGGTGGTGGCGTTATAATATGTGTCGGTGGAGGTGGAGGTATTGAACGAGATACCTCCATTACCATCATACCTAGCGTCCAGCTTACTTGTATCTTATTAATATCCTTGACACTCCGGAAGGGTGGGTTATCCTCACCAACAACATTGTCTACATCACTGTCATTAGGAATCCCAATTCCATCATGCAGAAAGTTCACTAACCACGCAGACTTAAAACATTGCATCTCTAGCCGCTGTATATCAATATCAGGATATTTATCTAAGATGTCATCCCAATATAATGAGCAGTAGTCAGCCGCCTTCTCCTCAAATACTTCATAATTCCATTCACCTCCTAACTTAAGAACATCATCAGCAGTATACCAGTACTCAGATACACCGACAAACCGGTTTACGGAGAAGTCTATGTTGGGTGCGTGCACTCCATTAAACAAGCAAGGTGAATCGTTGCAAGGTACCGTCTTGTTTAGCAATGGAAGCGTTTGTTCAAGACAATCCCTAAAGGAACCAGTTCCTTGAAAGGCATGATAAGGAGGAGGACGAGATGTATCAGTGAGAAGTAAATTCTTTGGTATACAAGGATCCTTGATTATTGTGGTTATCTGTTCACGTGCTGTTCCTGGATTCTTGATCTCTGTACGAGTACCATTATAACTGTTAATTCGCATCTCCACATATCTCCGACGGGCCTCGTTAGTTCCAAAGCCCAGAAATGTGGTGACAAACACGTAATAATCTAATTTCTTCTCATCAAGAGTGTAAAGAGTTACAGTTTCCAAATCTTTTTGATGTTTTTGAGCCTCTATCGAATTAGGTTCAAATGCAATTTGTGCGCTAGCGCCACCCATATCTAAGAAACCGAAGGTAGTGATGTGTTTGTTGGCTCCTGAAAGATCTTTAACGTCATGAGGCGTAAAATGTTCAACATTATCGGTAGTAAATCCGCCCAATTTATAATTCACAGCAAGCCAGCCGTATACTCCTTCCATTTTACCCGAGATTACTTTGATCCGGTCTTTACATTTGTCCAATCGGAAATGATAATAAGTTCGAATGTAAGCACACGCACTATCTAAAATTTGCTTTTGTTGCTCATTAGTTAAAAGACGCATTCCTGCTGTAGCGAATAAATATACTGGAGTGTCGACAATCTTATTCTGTGGGACGACTTCAAGCGCAAAATCCAACAGCTGTCTAAGATGATGATCCCCAACATCCATCGGTTTTTCGACAAAGGAAGATATCCCTAAACGACCGAATTGGTTGTCGGAAAGGTCGTTGTTAGTTGTGAAAGTCTATAAATATTTAAAGTTTCGGATTGAACGTAATCCGTACTAAAGCAAAATGACTTGTTTCACGGTTTGGGATAGATTCTAGATTCCCAATTCCGTTCTTCAAAGTGAGTCAGTCTATCATTGACTACACCCTCTAATAAACTACTATCAATTAACGAAAGCAGAGTGGGAAGTTTAAACAGACCCAAATGACAAATCCATTTCATACCTGGTTCTACCTTATACTGCCATTTCTCCCCTAATTCGTCAGCAAGTTCGATGTTCGGCAGAGCATGAAGATTGTCATTTTGCTCGCGCACAAATCTATGGTCTTTCCAAGAGTATATTTGTATTCTAGAACCAGAGCTACCTGCATCTATGACAGCACCGTAGTTTCGGTTTGACTTCCAAGAACTTCCAACAGCAGGCATTAGAGCGTCAGAGTCAAACACTTCACGGTGGAGCTTCTATTTATTTCTGTTCGAAGACAAGATAGAAGTCCGAACCTACTGCTATTTACGGCAGGTATCATCATGACAAGAATAGATAGATCAACAGCCATAGTTCGATGCTTTTTATTAATGGTAATGGTAGCGCCACATACCCTGGCTTATCAACTATATTGCTGTGATTACTTTTGTATAGAAATTTATTCTTCATTTTATGTATTGCGGGACAGCTTGTTTACACGAGTGAGTTGGTATATTTTCAATACACAATGAGTCTTGATATAACGAAACCTGTATATATGTACAATGACGAAGTTATTAAAACCCTAGTCACTATTACTGGCCCCAAGTCTATTGATTAATAAAAACATAACGAAGTTGTTCTGATAACAAACTTCCTATAATTTCGACCATCACAATTCTTATCCCATGATAAATCCTAATATGCTCGTGTTGATTCTCGTTCATGATGGTTAAGAAATTTAAGGCAAGTGCTGTAATGACAGCCCGTTGAATATGACAATTTCAGTTCTGATGCATTTGAACGTGTCAAAATGGATTCCCTTACAAAGTAACTTGTCAGATTCACTTTGAGAGAGAAGGATTTGTAATCTATACTCGCAACTTGCCTGCGACAAATAACTTGCATTAATGTATGTTGGCTAGCCCATATGAGAAGTATTAAGGCCGGACAAGGTGGAAGTAATAATAACGCAACCGAATTTAGAGTTCAAATGTTGAATCCGCAATGATGTCGATTTGTAGGCAGCTTTTCAAGCAATGCGATGGTACACAATGATAACTAGTTTTAGTAGATACATTCAACAAACGTTCAAATAATATCACTACGACTAATGAGAATATTGGAAATAATCAAATGTAATGGAACCTTCTGGGTGGCGAGGCATTTAGAAGAATAATTGTGGCGTCACTTTCAAGAATCCATTTTGGAGCACGGGTAAAATTGAAAGCATTTGCTAAATCGGTTATCCATTTTTAGCTAATATTCATTATACATGTAACTTGCATCAATTTAGCTTAACATGGCGAAATAGATAACATGGACAGAGAATACAACCGTTTGTGTAATGAAAGAACTGGAATATGAAAAAACACGTCAACAATTGATAGAAACAATCATTAATACAGTATGTAACACTTATTCTCCCATCCTCGTAATGAGCTTAACGTCAGAGTTGTGAATATAAACATGAAATGCAAGTGTTGTAATAATTTAGTAATGCGTGCGTGTTTATATACTGACGCAAGTAAATTTAATGTTACAACAAAGAGCTGTAGTTTGGCGTCGATATTATCTTGAAACTACGAAATTAATGAGCGCAGTCGCCGACAAAATTCCGTATTTGCTACTGGACATTGAATGCTAGCCATATCGGAATCTGACGCATTTAAACAGCGAAATCATATTCCAAACTTTTACCTAGGTAACGCTTGCAACTTGTGTAAATTTATTACGTAATATTAAAGTAATTGTAACAGCTGCTAATAGTCTTTCAAAATTATAGAAAGCAGGGCATTTTATTCTCACTTCGTTATTTTGCTTTAAGCCAAGGAAGCTAGTGTTAACATTAACTTACAATTTACAAGATAGGACTAAGACATTTTTCGCTAATGTTAAAGAGGCAATTAATTTTTGCTTTACATACACTTTATTTGAACGCTCGGGTGTTGTTGATTTGATCTTTAGGCTTTTGCAGTCTCTCGAAGTCTAATCTCCCTGCCTCTTTAACTACTCTCTCTCAAATTGCTACTTTATCTTATGGTTGGGAGTTCTCGATCTAATAGAAATTCGATAGGCGTATTGGCTTGTATTCTGTGAGCTAGACTGCATATTTAAGCACGCAAACGCTTGGTTTGATTCGTTATGGATTACTGAACTAAAAAACGGTTAAACTTAATGTGCAAGCGTTAATTCACTCGCTTAAGCAGTAGCACGTTCTAAATATAAAGGAAAACAAGTTGCTTAGAAGCTATGCCAAATAACAGATTTCGGTCGTGTTTGCTTATTGTGACAACAACATTGTTGACTGATATGGCTAACAGCCATTCCAATCAAAAAAGCAGTAACTCAGTTATAAGTGCTGCGTGTATATCGAACCCAAAAGCCGCTACTAAAAAAAACTTGTGGTTTAAATTTTGTATTTGATACCGAAATAAAAACAAAATAAATTTGTCAATAATATGATAAGAGCAAACTCATCAGCGTATTTCTGACCAACACGCACAATGGCTAATTAGGTAGAATTGAGATGGGTTATGGCTTTGTAATGTGCAAGTGCCAGATATCTAATTTATTATACCACTTCATTCTTGGTATAAAGTTTTCGAAACAGTTCATATTAAGTAGAAAATGGTTACACATGACAACAATTGAATTAGTACAACTTTCATCTAACAACGAACTTTGTATTATTTATTTACCTAATAAGGCTTGTTTTGACATATTGCCTCAATTTATAAAACTAAAGACAAATGCGGCAAGTATGCGATTTTAAGCCAACAGAAAATAACATCAAGTAAGGGGGAATGAAACAAACTTACCAAAAATATACAATAAACGTTCATCAAAGGTAAGGCTAGAAAAATTGTTTATAAGAGATATAAACAAACAACTTGCAATTGCAATCAAGAAACCGAAAAATGTATAGTAGTTGAATTACAGTATATGTTACAAACTCTTGTTATAGTCAACATTATACAACTTGGCTTGTGTGTCACGTTTTTTCTTCGATATACTGTATAACGATAATAGATAAACTTGTGACTCTTAAGTATATGTATGTATACACAATAACATGACGTCATAATTACACCCCGTTAGTCTGCCACCAAACTTGTTTAATTTTTTTATACAATTTTATTTCACCAATATTGTGCGAAATTTTAAAAAAAAAGTACAAGAAAAGATAAAAAAGAAAGAAAGCAATAGAAAAAAAGAAGAGATAATAAATGAGAACGATATAAACAAAATAATATGAATAAAAAAAAGATGAAAATATGAATACGAGGCACTATTACACCTACACCTAATCCTTCCAAAAAAAAAACAATTTCAAATTTTAAACGCTAATAAATCCATATTAATGCTACTGTAACTTTAAACCATAATATATGTCTCACAATGAATCATTAGGAATGGAATCAGCCATCGTAAAGATAAAAAGAATAAACATAAATAGTTTTCAAAAAACAACAACATAATAACCTTAGTTAAAAATAAATATCGTAAGAAAATTATGTATAAACTTAAAAATTTAAAGCATATATAATATATATAGCGTATTGATATGATGATAGGTTGTATAAATTGGAGTTAATAAATCATTGTGAGACAGCCACTAAGTAGACAAACAACCACTTTCCCTTTGAATGTACATAACCACTCGAATAGACCTCGACTTCTCGAATTTGAGAATATTAAATACAGAAAAGAAAAATGAAAAAAAAAATAATATGAAAAAAAAAATATATCGGTTTACTAAAAGAGGTTCGATACATTTGTTGCAATCAGACCAGCTGAGCAACTCTAAATAGAATAATTTAAGTAATTGTGAGCACAGCTGTAATTACGTTATCAAGAAGCAATTATATAGCTCAAGAAGCGAACGTACCTTAAGCAGCATTCCCGAGGAGAACGCGTTTTTAGTTTCTCTGATATTAGCAACCATTCATTTTGATACCTCACATAGTAATAAAGTAAGCAATAATCTTCCTGATAATATAAATAGAACGATTGAAAATTGTTTGCAATCTGTGAGCGAGAATGGCTGAAAGGTTGATAACGGTAAATAAACACTGCATACTTGTTTAGTCCAGTTGGGACGCATTATGATCTGATTGATGAATTTTTCGTTGACCAAAGTTGTGAAAATTTGAGTTTTTTTCTTCTTGGATTGATTTCTTGAATATTTGTTTGTATCAGACTTTGTTTAGCTGATGAGATTTCTCTACGTCTTTACGGCTTGCCTTTAAATATCTTCTCGGCGCATTCTTCCCGCGCTTTCCCGCCAAGAGTGGTTTAGGTCAACATATTACTATTGTTCTGCTATTTAATTTTGAAATAATTGTATTACTCGTTAAATGCGGTTAAAGTTTTCACCAGCATTTTCCCGCCATTATTTTTAGTACATCCATTGTTTAGCATAGTCAATAGGTCAATCAAAAATTGATACTCGGTTACTCTATTGTTATTTTGGCGGTAAATACGAGGACGTTGTTTACACTTCTATTGAAAGAGAACAATAGGATTACAAATTAAATATACAGTGCTAAATGAATTTAGTTTAAATACATTATACCGTATTGTTTGTTTATTTTAGTCACTAATAAATTCTCTTATTCGGAACTATCACAATATGACGCGAAACAAAGCTATATCTTTGTTTGTGGATTACTCCGAAAGTAAATCGGCCTATTTTTTTTGCATAACTCCCCCCCATTGTTACCGAGCAATATGTGGTACAAGACGCAAATTTGTCTAAACGAATTCCCCTTCTTTGTCGTCGCTACGACAGCACACGGCTTGAGATACGAAATCAATAATGGCCTGAAACCAGTCTCTCCTGCATGACTCAGCTTAGTAAAGACGAATTTTAATTAATCCCTTTTATGGTATCTTTGATGTTTGAATCGAGGAATTTTACGACCCGAAAGTATGGTTAATATACTATAATAGTACTATGAATAGTAATGTATTGGTCGGTAAAAAACTTATATCTGCCTGTAAATAATCTATTAACTGTCAAAAAGCGTGAAATAAACATGAAAAAAATATTTAACGTATATCAAGTATATTATTGTTAAAGCCAAGTTCGACTGTACAAAAACCATCAAAAGTGGTACTATATTTACAGTATTCGGCTATTGAATTCTTACAAAGACATTGTTAATCGATAGCTTCCAATCGATAGTCATCTTCGACCAAACTATTTACGGGGTATTTAATTATCGCACATACATTTGTCTTGGTTAGCTGTTGACGATGTCAAAATCTATGTATTCGGCAAGAATCGTACAATTAGTAAATGTGCGGATATGTGCGAGATTGTACACCGTGCCTGTAGAAGTTCATACCAACCGAATACAGAAATCTTGAACATTGCCGAATGTAGACGAGTTTATTCAACATACAGTTCCCGTGATTCAATAGCTTATCACCGTGAGAAGTAGATGATAAGTTGGTCTCACATGCTATGATACATATTAATATACTCTGACAATCAGGGGTTAATGATGCATGTGCCTCGACATTAGCTAGGTTATTCACCCATGAATATTCATAAAGAACCCTTGTTATTGATGTTATTATTATAGCACACGAATTTGTAATCTAAAGTACAAAGTCGATTCTGGCCAATAGAAATTAACTAATAAAGCAAAATGATTGGCCATATGATGTCTTTTATGGTTGTATATCATTATTCATTCTTAACAAGCATATTTTATATTAATATAGAACATATGAATAAGAATACAATGAGAGACATTGCTACATAATTATAACCGTATTCATACTACACTTATTAGCATATGTGGATCAACATCGATAACGAATAATATCGTCGATTTATCGAAGGAGGCTCCGTAGTCTACAAAAGACCGAATAACTTAATGTTTAATGAATAAAAATCGGTATATTTTTGTTCTAGTAATTGTTTCTGTTACCTTTCCGCACATTCTTTGGGGCTTTTCGTACCGAGTTGTCTAGCAATAACAATCCATTTTGGTCCATTATTAAAATACAAGACCAATAACATTCGGCTTTCCTACAATAAAATTGATCGAATCGGTAAAAATCCACTATCCTCAAAATTGATAACAAGCAGGAATGCAATATCTCACAGCGATTGTCCATTGAACTCTCATAGCAACAATTTCAAGTTAAATTTGTTCTGTTTTTGGTATATGACTAATATTAAGTTTGCCGCTCTTTTTTTTTCTATTTATATCCGGTCTCAGACATTACATGTATATTAACATAATAAAGTATGGCAAGCTATATAATGCTTTAAATTTATTGGACGGATTATATTAATATAAACATACATGCACAGCTCTTGTGCTAGAGACCGTTGCTACCTTGTCTTCCTCTCTTCGTTAATAACTATTGCTACAGTGTAGATCAACAATGGAGTTGTCACACACTTTTTGTGTCATATCACGCCATTTTGTATAGCGATAATCGTAATACAATGACCAACAATGAAACACGTCGCAAGGCTTTGTCTTTATCATCTACACCTTAACGTTCGACGCTAGTATTACTAAGTATTAGTGTGGCGACTGGATTGATCGAGAACTTGAGACATGACTGAGACAAATCACCTCATTTTAACAAACAGAATCGCACAACATTATTGCAAATACGGCGTACAAAACCAAACAACATCGACACAAAAAAGACCTTTTGTTGTTAAAAATAGGTGTTATCAAAATATGTAGAGAGTTTTAACTTTTATTGGTATTATTAATCACATCGTCCCACTGTTGTAAAAGCGTTCCAGACAATATTAAGAGGCAAACACCAATAATTAGCTCTAACAGTCATTACACACTTTTCCATTCGTATCAACAAAAGCATTGCACCCCTTTCTCTATCAGTTACATCAGTCAACAAACGCGCAACCATTAACCATAACTTACTCCTTAATGTGTTTGATACTTCGTGATGACGAGAGGGAATTAATTGGTGGCTCTCGAGTTTGTGATAATCGATCTTACAAAAAAAATTGATACAATGAATAAACAGTTTGATATTTATGAAAGAAGAATAAACTGATGGAGACTACTAATAATTTATTGATCAAGCATTACAATCTGTTACTAGAACGGTATCAGTAATTACGTATCAAAATTGCGGATTGCGACTTGCTCTAGCGTTGCAATAATAGACAAGTTTTTGTCCTAAAAAAGAGCAAACCTATTTTTAAACTTGCCGAAATTGCAAACATATTAACCAGAACAAATATTCGGTAAAAGGTTTGCGCGATTACGTTATTCCGAACCATAATAATAGCAGCAACTATAGCGACACAGTTTACACAGACACCAAACGCGTTTCATTGCAGAACAATCTTTACTCGCGGTTACTAAGTTTCCGCATTAGGAGTTAATTAAATCTACGCTTAGTTTCTTGCGATTACTGGTAGTTTCCATGGACGTGCAAGGGATAGCCACCAGTTTCATGCGTTTCATACTTTTTACCCCATGAAATGAGATAAGCATTTGTTCTAGAACAGAATGCAAAAGCACTGGTAGCGGATTACGCAAATTGTTATGGGCCGATCTTCATTACAAGGATTCTCTTTGTTCACGTCAAGTCAGAATAATATCATTGTTAGTTTCTAAACTTAGACAGTAATGTAATCACATTGTTCATATTGTTCTCTCCTACAACGAATAAAAATCAATCTCATTGTTGATTTTGAAAATAACAATGACAATATTTTGAGTTTTTGTAACATAAATTTAACTATCACAGTAATAGGCGGGAAAACCATTACTTCGAACTTAATAATGACAAACGTTGGTCGAGCAGCCGCGAACAATACTAACAAGTTGTAGGACAATTCTGGCGGAAGCATGGAAGGTACAGACTTCACATCTATTTAAGAGCATGGTGGCAAGAATGGGAGCTGGCATCAACTCAAAAAAAATTAAATCTTTCAGACAAAATGCAAACACCTTGGCAACCAGAGGTAAATTCAGCTCATAAAATTTATCTTGTTTTGTTTTTCTAAATTATTAATCAGCTTATTGTAATCAATAGGAGGATTTCATGTTGCTTAATTTATTTCACACTGTGGGCGCCAATTGGCCCTTCCTCTCTCAAGAACTTAAGACCCGCTCGCCGAGAGAATGTGCAATTAGGCATGATTTAATTACATTAAGAAATACGCTTTTTTGTAAATTGGTCAATAATGTTATTATTCTATCTAACGCATACATTTTTTGTAAATCTAATAGGGTCCAACAATTACTGCCTATGTGAAAAACTGTACACAAATAACATAACGTAAATCAGTAATTCGATATCGAGGAACACGTGTTCTGCATGACACCATCATTCAACAAATTATCAACCACCCACATTTAATTCATTATGCACTTACATTTACTACGTTAAGCTTGTATATTTAAGAAATTTTATCTTTAAGCTATAACTGAAATTTTTTTACTTTATTAAGAGACATTGTGACTAATAGTCCGATGATATACTCAATACTACCTGTAAATAGCATTCTGGTTTTCCCGCATAGCACGGAAGTTTATTATTGTTACAACTTTTGGGTTTTACTTTTGGATGTTGGAATGTCACGTGCATGGCTGTTCGAATAATGGTCACCTTCGAAATTTACTTCTTTCTTCTTTTTTTCTTTTTTTTTTTTCGTCTTATACCTGTCTACTTATCTATATATTTTGTGCTTTTATATTGTTTTTATTATTTTTGTTATATCAACATTATCAATTGCAATGAATAACCTATTTTATAATTAAAGAAAGTCTCAAGTATAATAATTGCTTAAGAATTTTTGAAATAACAGTCGTAGCTTAACCGAGTTAGTGTAGTCGCAACAAATAGGACAACATTTGCAGCACCGTTAGTGATATTAGGAAAGTATGTGGTTATCCAACTCAACTATATTGCTATTAATACGATTAATGCGATAATTACACCCCCCTGACAAAAGTATAAGTACGAGACGAAATTTTACTAGTAAAACATAAAAACTCTTTATTTTCGAAAATCTCTATCGTCCATACGTACTATGTAACTCACAATGATTTTGGTACCTTTTTGAAGCTAATTGACTGTATTTTTCGAAAAAAGTGATGTGGAATTTAAATTAGTTACTGTAATGAAGAAGTAGTTCGATAAAGTGACGGCACTATGTTATACATATGATTTCATATGTGTAACATAATTTTGCCACTTCCTCGAACTACAGCTTTGAAACGACAACAGGATTGAGTATATTATAATTTTTTCTGAAAAATACAATCAATTAGCTTCAAAAAGGTACCAAAATCATTGTGAGTTACGTAGTACGTATGGACATAGAAATTTTCGAAAATAAAGAGTGTTCATATGTTTTACTAGTAAAATTTCGTCTCGTACTTATACTTTTGTCAGGGGAGTGTATATTACCTTTATTACAGTTTAGAGACATACAGCTTTGACTCAAGTGATAACCTAGTAGTCTATTGTAATACTACGCGAGAAAATTTTGACTTGTCCGATGCCTGTTTGTTTTCCATAGGAATAACAATGTCGTGAACAAAGTTAAAAAAAGTCGCTAATATTGGATATACAGTTGTCTTGTATACTGACAGTCAAGTAACGTGAACCTAACACTTAGATTGTCTTTTACTATAAGCTGCTGACCGACGGGCGGGGATGCGAAAGTAATATAGTATTCGAGTACACTGCTATACTTATGCAAGAAAGCTTATTCATGTTATAGAATGTCCTTAATGGACAATCGATGGGAATTATTGATTACGGGTTGAACGGAAAGATATACACAGTAAGTCCAGTTTAACGAAGTGCTCTGTTCCACTGTTAATGCGAACGTATATTTTATGTGCAGTATTTATATACTGTATATATTTCGTTATAAGGCCATTTTCGTTAAACCGTGGATCATACTATTTGATTAGTTTTTGATCGTTACCACGGGTACACAACTTACCAGACAGTCGTGACAATCGATCCTATTAGAACCAATATTCGCACGAGTTACTATTAAATAGCAATTTAACTAGTATCTATTTTCTCAGTTAATTTAAGCTTACAAACTTGGCGATATTGTATCTTAATTTGGTTGGTTCTATCGTATTACAATAGTCTGGAAGTAATTGTCATAAACAATTTATTGTGTATTATTACGAACATTGCTTATTATCGAACGATAGGAGATTATTTATTGCTTTGAAGCGTGGAAACAATTATGGTTTATAATTTTGTTACTAAGAATTAAAGCCGGACTTTTCTGGGGCAACTTTAGCGTCTATTATTTCGACATAGTGACAAGGCTGAAGTGACAGGCTGCTGAATCAGTTCACACGTTGTTATTTCAGTATTTAGCAATCAAGCTCCAAGTCAAAAGTGTTAATATAAAATACCGTATTTTGCAACTCAATTTTAACACCTTATTTTTATGTAGTTTATAAACTTTTTGTTTCAACAGTATTAAATAATACAATAAAATCAATATTGCTAATTGTTTTTGCACTACTGAATGCTAAGATAAATAAGAAGTTTATTTAAAAAATCATGCTTGCATTACAGGCGTCTTTTGAGTTTGTTTGGTACTTTCTACCTTTTATTGTTTACCGTAAAAAAGTCTAAATTCACCAAGTAAATATTTCAAGCAAAATTTTTTGTACACTTTAAGTTCAATTATTATTTACACAGTGAAATTCACTTTAACGAAGTCGTCCGTTCTGCAGATAATCTGAAAGATTCGTTATCCCGAAAGTAATGTAATAATTCACGTGATTTGATTTTATTATGGCGATTACAAAATTTTATACATTAAATATATTCCATATTTAACTCCTCTTGTCGCAAGTATAACAAAAGACCGTTAATACTATTAATAGCTTCAGCTGATAATACCTTTCTCATTTCCTCCTCCTCTTCTTTTTCTTCTGAATGTCCTTGAATAGTTGCTACAATTTCTCTCATAATGCGTGAGTCTTAGTAACAAGAAGACACAGCGATGCTGGAATTTATTGATATCGATGATTCTGATTAGTTAATTCCTATAACGAACTTCGTTATATTATAATAAACTTTGTTATACAAATAAATTCGCCCAAGTGAATGGCTTTATTTATGCATGGATTTTGAAATCTTTGTTCAACGTTATATAGCACTTTATATGTTTATCCTGTTAAGAGTAAACTGGTTCCAGAAAAATACTTCGTTATGAGCCATCTTTGTTCAAGTGAGACTTTGTTAAAGTGAATTTCACTGTGTAGTATGAAGCTCTAAATAAATAGGGCATATTATTATATTATTATATAGATACAATATATAATTTTAAGACATTTCAAATTTCTGTAGCAAAAATTAATTAATTTAGAGAAAGCAGGTCTATTACTATTTGCAAATACAATTATAAAGTGCTAAACCATGATTCATTAAACTTGCTGGATTCAGCATGTGATAGCTCAGGCATTACTTCTGCCTGCTTCCCAGAAAATCCCATATTGGTAGCATACATAATAAAGAATTGTTAACTAGTATCTAATAAGTTCTCAGGTGTATGGTTAATATATGATTATCCGAAGTAACGCATACCAATGCTTATTTTTAAAAAATTTTGTCAATTCACCTCTAAATCACCAACTTCTAAAAGCAATTTTAAATAGTCCTTTGCGAGCAGAATGTGTGCGTATTGTCGTGTCGGTTAACGTTAATTAACTGACCTTAAGATTTAGCTGTATACTCAACCTTAACTCTGAGAAGCCTTCTCTTCGACTATTGGTACCTATTATTAAGATTTCCAGCATTCTTATCCTCATATTAGGTGGGATTCTTTCTCTAATAGCAATGACATCTGTAATAGATAACAAATTGTTGGTGCAAATATGCATAGGAACATTAGAAGTATTGTTATTCTACTTCCAATTATAATCGTCACATTTTCTGACTTCGTCTACTATTCTACGTTAAAATAAATATCAACGATAATACAGTCGCCAATTATTGGTGTCCGCTCGACAGGTTAATGTATTCGCGACAAGTTGGTTCCTCTGTCGCTGATTGTTTCACTAACTGTCTCGAAGCTAAAGGTATGCAACTATGTGTTAATAAAAATTTTGATTATACATATACCAAAAACGTGTAACAATAATTTCATTTCTCGTCAACAAAACAAGAGATTCCACGTTGGTTGTGAGGTGCCCACTTTAATGCCAACCTCAGCCAATTACATCACTTATTTTGCCATTAATTGCATAAATGTAATTGTAAAAACTCAATACAACAAAGCTCAGAGTTATAAAAATGCATATTTAAATCGAAAAATCCCCAACACTATCTTTTTTAAGCAGCTAATAATGGAGCTGTCAAAATGCAGACATTTGTAATTTTCTATCAAATTACTCATTCTATTCATATGCGAAACATTAGGCTTCTCTTATTTTATATCTAGCTGGTTAAAGACAATGCTAATCGATCAAAGTGAGATTGGAAATGCTAAGAGTTTACTCAATCAAACATACGGTTATCAACCGGAATTTCAAGACAGCGATTGATAACACCAATAGTATGTAAAATGTAGACACTCGTGTCAACTCAATTCTTAAATAACTGATCATCATTACTAAGTTAGATGTCCCAATGGGTGCACGATCCGTTCGTCCAATATGGCATCAATTTAAAATAGAATCGTTTACGTAATAAAAGCGCCCTAATTGGTTAGCACGTCAAAATAGAAAATGTTATCGGAACATTGAATTGATCTTATTACGTAAATGTCATCATTGTAAATCACGTGCAAAGGATGCATTTTTCTTACATGCCTTTTAAACAAGAAAGTGAGCAGTTTGAGGGGGAAATCACGATATTAATATGCAACAGAGTAAGGATGGTTCTACTCTATCTATGAGAAACCTACACATACGTTCTTCGACTGTTTATGACGCAAATACATGTAAAAATACTTAGACCTATCATGACGGTGATATATGATGTAAGACAGTCGATGAAATATGAGGGTAGAGTTTAGTAACGATCGGATATCCATTGGTTTTACGATAATAGATTCAACACTATTGTCCATTAAGAAATGAACAAACAGACAACTAAGCCATAATCGCTTCGGATATTAACAAATAAGAATATCTATTATGTGTAAATTTTAGGTTTGTAGTCTGCTGTGTGAAGCGAGACCATTCACAACTAAAATACATTTGTCGTTCTGGAGGAATAATCTTAAATACATGGTAGCGAATCAATTCATTTTGTAGGTAAGCACAAATATCATTAGTTCTTACACTGTAAAAGTAAAATATCGTCTCTGTGTGTCGATCAATTAAAGCATATAGTTAACGGTTTCGTTTCGATAATATAATAATTTGATTTCTATTGCAAGCAGCAACAACACAATCGCAGCGACGCATACTACATATAATCATAATTGGGAAAGATGGCATTGAATGTTGCGAAGTTGAAAAGTCCGTTTTCAGTTTGGTTTGTTAGTAAACAAGGAAGTTACCATACTTGAAAATGTCTCTCACAGCAAGGTGACACTTGGTTGGAATACCAAAAAGTGAGAAAAGCTCCTGAACAAAATTTCTGAAGATGTTTAATAAAGTGTTTTGCTACCAGTCAAAGGGTGTTTTTTTAAACCGTTGGTCACTGCTTGTCAATAAAGACGTCTAGGTATGAAATCAGGTCGTGTGTCTAATGTCGATTTTTAAATGAAAAAAAAAAATAGATTGTTGACGGTCTACTGCATAGACGTCACCGGGAAGGGGTTGACTGTCGGTATTGATAAAAGCCAAACGCTTGGTATTATCTTAATTGCTTCGCAAAAATTAAATCCAAAGACATCTTTTCCAGGATAACATCACACACTGAGACGCGGAACCGAAAAATTCCATTCGGTGTACTATTCAGAGTGCAGTTAAAGATTCGTGGAATGAATTAAACTAAAGAATTAGATCATCTAAAGACTAGGATTAGGCCAAATGTTAAAAATATGAAAGTGTAGACTATTAATGAGAAATATTCAGGATCTCATGTAAAACTTGAATTGTAAATTCGTTTCGCATTTGATAGCAAGTCGCAAGAACCACAAGACAGCGCTGATTAAGGTGCTTTGTACAATTCAGTGAGCATGAGAAGCCAAACATATTGGTTGAGCTTAAGATAATACATGTGTAAATCCACATGCTGTTCTCCGTCTTTCTTCTTTCTATGCCAAAACAAGAGATTCTGCCTTACATGCAATCTACCTCTTACTTCGCCAAGAGAAGATGTTCCAGACCCATTTCGAATGGTTTATGGGAAATAACTTAGTACGAGATGTTCAAAGTACGAGATGTTCAAATAAGATTAGACGTGTATACCTAATTGATCTACACTCCCCCTATCGATTTCCAGAGTCTCTGATTGACATATTCATAAGCGACCTAGAATATTCGGCATGAACAACGTTATTAGACTATAATGTACACGGCTATTATGTCAGCCAGTGCATAGTCTACATAATAGTCGATTAACTGTCTTTTAAACTAATAAATTCAAGCTGCTAAAAACACGGACATTTTGCCGTCCAGGTTTTAGGTTTTTATTTTAAGCGGTTCATATGATGAACTTATAATTGGAGGGGGGCTGAGTGCTGCTAGCGTTACACGTAGAAACGATTGAGCAGTTTCACTTTCAGGGCAAACAAAGCAACAAACATGTTTGAGATAATAAGTGGCTTGCGCATTCTGGTCATCTGCGACATCGTTTTAGTGGTTCGGATGTCGAGTCGCTGCAGCGTTTCTGGCATCCATAACGGTATATATTGCTTGTGCTGATGAGACCCGGAACTCAAGCTATTTAGGTCTAGAAAGACATGCAATAATAGATGTCTTTCTAAGTCTCATATACAAGTTTTACTAACGTTAGGAGTCTTATGTAAATTATTAATATTATGGGCGTCAGGCAAAGTAGGCTTTCCTTAAAGGCATAATAAGTCGTCGATATATGTGCTATCTTGTGTTTATTAATTGTAATATAGATGGCTATAAGATATTGTATATCATACAGATTTGCGTTTGACAAATAACGTCTCCCAATCGCGTATATGCAATTAATCACGTGTTCTGGTTTTTTATTAACGCTAAATTAAGTTTCATTAACGGCAGAGGTTTTTAAAGTAACAATTTGTGGTATGAAGGCATAGCCACCGTAGGAGTAGTAATCGAGTGCAACTTTAAGCCCACGGTATTAGTTTAATCTGGTAGAGCGCTTTTTTTTTTCCTTTTTTCTTTTTTTTTGGGACGAGTGAGAGATCAACGCATGTATGCTTTTAACAGGGACAATAAGTTGTGATCCCGATGTTATGTAAGCAAGCAAAAAATTTAACGTGACCACTCTTTACGGACGTACAATAAACAACAGATAGTAAAAAAAGTTGATTGATTTGCTTGAGAAACTTCCTCGACGTTTGATATTAATCTTAATTTAATTAAAACGAGTCAGAAACAATAATTGGGAATGGACATATTGTCATACCCGATGTGGCGTAGATAATACATGGTTAGTAAGTCGACAGACAATTTATTCCCAGAGATCACAAGGAATGGATCGAGAAAATGTCATATAAATTGTACTCATTAGGAGGACGTGTTCCCCGAATCGAACACCATATAATTTATTTGATTGCACTATACAATCTTTGATTAAAGTTTGTCGGATTCGGATTGTTATCTCCGTACGTTTATATTTTTATGCGAGATTTTCTTTTATTTTCTAACAATAGATACCGAAATGTCAATCAAACTCGAAGCGTGTATGAACTGTTGGCTATTTCGATTACTGTGTTTCATTCAGTTCTTACTTGTATCGGTTGGTGTCTCGTCATTGTTATTGGTAACCGTTAGTTTTGCTTATTTATCATTTGCCTTGTGACTACACGATTGACTATGCAATCAAATGTGACGCGACAATCAATTTTATTCGCAAAAACGTTCGATTCTTGCACCATAAACAACGTGTTACATTATGTATCTATGTGATTAGTATGATAAGTCAAGGCTTTTCTACTGTAATTAATACTGATTCGTTATTCATACTATGCAATTGTGTCATTATTGATAAGCCTGACTATATTGCCGTTTTGCTAAGCTTGATACACCTCCGAATATGCAGGAGAATACAAGGTGCACAAGATAGTACAGTTCAATATATTATAGTTATAAACAATAATTGGTGCCCCAGCAGAGTCTATTAAACGAGTTGACGTTCTAAGAATTCGATTGTTGGACAATCACAACTTCATATTGTAATTATGTGTGAATAATGTTTGTCCGACGTATACTCTTGTATAATTGACATTCTTCAATGCCAGTTATACGGAAACGTGGTCCCTCGATCATCGATTATGTTAGTGGCAACCATGTGGCGTTATGAGACAAGCTTTGTATGTGATATATGATTCTGCAAATGTGCACTCCGAAGTATTTGTACAATTGCTGTATTTGTATAATAGAATACTTTTTTGTTTCTTCTGTTGTCAATGCAAACTATTTAACCGTCTTTGAATCTTCCGTGGGTTTACTTGACGTTTAAACCGACGACAATCTTTATTTATTTTCCAAGACAGTATAGTCGCGAAATAATGAGTGCCAATATACTTTGTGTCTATGGTTAGAAAGTAGTAAACGGTAAACAATAAGCAGTTACTCCGGGTGTTTACTACAATCGTATATTATTTGTTACGTGGCTCTATTTTTGGTTTTTTTTTTGTTGTAACACATGTAAGAGATTGGAATGCTTAATTCTGTTCACAGGGTTACCACATATATTCGAATTTAGATATATATAGCTAGCTGGATAGTTTTATAATGTCAGATGACTGATGAAAACTTGTCATTTTATTCACATCAAAGAGCTGACATACAAAGGCGTTTGACACCTCTAATTTAATGCATGTCATATTGGGTATTAAAAATCGTCCAAGTTTTTATTTCCTTTTTTTTTTTTTTTGTTTTACCGAGGAAAAACAAACAAACCTTTTCTCTCGAATAAGATGAGGTGAATGGCCAGGTTAATAATAAAATGTCCACTGGATATATGTAAGCGTTTACTGTTACATGCAGTCTATTTTGATGTATGCAAATACGCTGTCGCACGGATTATATCGTAACTTTTTCCGTTCAAACAATTTTCCCGAGATAATTTTTATCAGAGAACTTGCGTTGAAGCTTTTTCCCTTCCCCTTTCTTCGCGAGGGGGTGAAATAAGGACTGTTTGATGTTCATCGAAACCTTGTTCAATAATCTCAAAAAATACCTGAATGCGGCCGATACATTCTCTGCGAACATAGTGAGGCCATTTTCCAATTGACAACAGATCACTCAACAATTTGGTTAGTGTCCACGCAACATACATAATTTAAACAATCATCGTAGTCATATTTGTCGGAATAGTTCTATTAAAAGGTTGGCTTTTCGTAATGGCTACCGTATAATAACAGACAAGTATAAATAATAAAACAATGGTATTTATCAGGCAGTAGACAATCGATATTCAAGCATAACTGTTCGTGAATCAATTTGCTTATAACGTCATTTAAAAAATTTTCCCCCCGTCCTCATCGTCGTCGCCGTCATCATCATTAGTTAAACTCAAGCAGTCAGATCCCCGCTCAAGCGCAGGGGATCTTTCAAACGTATATGTGTATATCACACATAAGCGTCATTTACAATCGCAAAGTACGGATGTATCATCCGAAATTCCGATTGACGATTGCACGACTTGAATAATAAATTTTAATTAATAGGAATCAAATAGAATTGGATTGTTCGACTTCCCAGAACATGCTCTTTTAATAATGCAATTAATATGCAAGCTGTTCCCCTTTTTGCGTTCAACTACAGCTTTAATTCTCTGGACAAGATTTTCTGTCGATTGTCTAATGACGTTATTTACCATTCGATACCATTCGATACCATTCGATGCCATTCCATGCCATTCGATACCATTCCATTCGGTACCCACGATGATTGCTTTCTCTTTGCTTGCCTAACTTTTCTCTCCAACTTATTCCATATATACCATATATACCAGTTACGGACAGAAATGCTCGTTCAATTCGTTATTATCGCGGGGAGGGGAGGAGGGTTAAGAAATAGAGATTTTTTTATTTATTTTTTTTTTTTTTGCAGATAATGTAAAATAAAGTTCTACTATTATTTACTGCTTTAATAATATTTACAATCATACCGAATTCATAGCATAACCTTGTCCATCCCACACCACACGCCATTGCCCCTGAAGAATTATTACAGTTGGTAGTGCCGATCTATTGAATAGCGAAACATTTACTTGATTTGTCAATCGCTGTCATATAAGCCATCATTTTATAGTAGCTGTTTCCCCCTAGAGAGTCGATTTGGCAAGACGCAAGTCGGAGCCCATGACATGATATTGTAGTACACCTCCTACAAATACTCTTTTGGACTAATATGGCTGTGGCTGTGGCATTCGTTGGAAAATCTCTCCAAGCGATCATTTCTTTAGGGCCGAACGATGAGGTTTAACAATCATAGTTTGAAGACGTTAATCAAGATGAACAAAGTCTTTTTCTTTTTTTAAAAAACTGGGTTTCCTATAATAACCGGGCTTATATGACAATCACATAGATCTTTTATTGGTAGGGCGATAAACTTTTGTTCGCTGCAAGGTTTTATTAGACAAAAACATACACGATCTTCTTATGTTAGTATTGTTGTATTTGCATCCATGTCGGTCATTCTTCTTTTTCGTCTTCTTCTTCTTCTTCATTCTTCTTCTTCTTTTCCTCTTCTGAACATCAATATGATCGTTGATATCATATCATCGACCCGTCATATCTAATCATTTATTGAAGTTCGACTCTTGTACGCGGAGTATGCCGAAGTGCAAACGATTTATTGTATCCGTCGCAATGAAACATCATCATAATTGCCATTTGCCAATTTCAAAGGTACAAACGCAACGAAAAAGAATGGATGAGCCGAGAACAAATTCAACAATGCAACGATATAACAATGAAAGCGACCTGCTTCTTGTTATATAATATTGGATGTTATAAACAAATAATATTGCACACGTGTAGTATACAACATGTCTTTCATAATAAAACGCCCGCGGTTCAATCCACTATACGAGCAAGGATTTCCGAATACAACATTTGTTTTGCAACACAGCTAAACACAAAAGGCATAATACAAAAAAAAGTATGACATAGGTTGGCTTCTTTGTTATCGGTATTGCTATTGACAAATGTTGCATGTTACTGTATGTACATGTACCTCTGACCACGTTGTTCATTGTGTTATTACTTATAATGCTCCATTATCGTATATATGTACAATATATACATATACAATAGACAATATACAATACAATGTACTTATGTGTGTATATGTATGTATGTTTATCAGTTGTAAACCAGATCAACATCTGAATGACAAATGCAATTCCACCAAGACGCACACACCAATTAATATAAATAAGGGCATTTCTCCTACTCTTCATGTTACTTGTTATAAACCTTTTTTTTTCCCCACATAACTGAAATTTTGTTCTCTTATGACCGGAAAGAAAAAATAGTCCAGTTCATTAATTAAGCGTCCTTTATTCTTTACTTGTGCCGTGTACAAATAATTATATTTATTTGTTATTATTCGTATAACAACGTCGAGTTTGATCACCCGGATTCATAAAACTGTAGATTAAAAAGGAAAGCAAGTATAATCAACGTTTACATGTCAAGAATGAGAGCTCCCTGGTCCGAGGAGGTAAAGAAAATATAAAAGAGTTGTAGGGAAAAAAAAAAAAAGTGGGTGGGGAAGGGAAAGCAGGACAAATTCGTAGCAACGATCAAAAAACCATGGCGCCCGAGATTGCGATAAATCGTATAAAAAAGTAGAGCGAAAAAGAACATTGATTTACATAATAAAGATCTCGAATGTCATATATTTATTCAACTCTCCTTCCGTCGACAACTGCAGGAGGACGCGCGCTTAAGGGATCTGGTTCAGGCTTACGGACAAAAGTGGCAAAAGATCTCGACCATAATCAAAATGCGCGAAGCGAAGCAATGCAGGGAGAGGTAAATATTAACAAAACCCTCTTGTCAGTTGACATTATAACCACCAGAATCGTGGTGTTAATCAGACTAATATCAGCGTTTTTCTGTTACTTTCATTGCTCGCTTGTAATCGAAAAGATGGTCAAACCACCTACGACCCGACAGTAAGTGAATTAACGATTTGACTAATTACCATAAATAGTATTTATACGTTCATACTCCCTACTTTTGTTTCCGCTAACTTATTAACCCATCGTTCTAACCCCTATAACACTTTCATTTTTTGGTTCTTTCCCTTTCCTTATCCGGCTCACTCAGTTGACAAGTCCCCTCTAAAAGAATACGAGAAGCAAAAAATTCGCATCTTACAACGTAAATTTGGCTGTAAATGGACCGAAATTGCGGCTCAAATTCCTGGAAGAACTGGTCTTATGGTAAAAAACTATTGGTACAACGAGGAAAAGAGAGCCAAGCACCAAATGAGAAACAAGATGGCTATCAGCAGATTGCTTCTTTCGCCTAATGAGATAGAAGAGCAGGTGAGTAATTGGATGGAAATGGCACGAGGCAAGGAGTTTGAAATTGTTTTCCCGGCACAATGAATTCGCTCTCCGGCATTACCCGATTTAAATCGACGACCGTTTTCCCATTACTATTGCTAATTCATGAATCATTTGGTTACACAAACCTCAATATCCCCTTATACAGACATCATACGAACCATTTGATTATGTATAATCAAGCAAGATGGTTGCTAACCGCGTAATCACAATTGGATACCTGTACATTATTCTTTTTCTCTCTTACTCTACGTCTACCCTCTTTTTAATTCTCGGTAATTCGGGAAACACATGCATGATATACGGAAATATGATCAACTTATGGTAACGAAGACTCATCGAATGAGACTATATGTAACGAAGACTCATCGAATGAGACTATATGTAACGAAGGCTCATCGGATGAGACTATATGTAACGAAGACTCATCAAATGAGACTATATGTAACGAAGACTCATCGGATGAGACTATATGTAACGAAGACTCATCGGATGAGACTATATGCTACTATTACGAACTAAGTTTTTTTTTTTTTTTTTTTCAAAAAGAAGCAAATTAATTTATTTTATGGTAATCCAATACTGGCATCTTCATCCAAATTTACAGTAACGCCTCACTTTTACTTATGATTTCTCTTCCTTTCCCTTGAACACACCGTCATCATTTATGGTTTACTTTTCCATGTCATTTCTCTATGATTTCTCTTTATATACTGCAAATGAATAAACTTCAACTCTAATGATATGCTCGTACCTAATTACCAATTTAAGTCTTATCGTCCATCGTCTGTTATTAGTACCTCCATTATTCATTGTCCCCTCGGACTAGTGCAACATAAGTTTTATTTTTCCGAAATAATAGTGGAAAGACATACATAATTTTAGCTCCGCATTTTCATTAATGCTGATGGTGTTTGGACATGTGTTTATGCGGGGAAGCACGAACGGACATTGCCCACAAAGTCGGAAATTCCCCTAATAGTATTGGTGGATGTTGATTATGTGAGAAGAGGTTCCTACAAGGATAAGCTGGGATGTCGGTGTTGATTAAAGTTAATTTGATAGAATTAAAGTCAATTCGTTTTTGCGGTAGAGAACCATATCAACGGCACCCCCCATGTTGAATGAAGCCATTGATGATAAGGTACTGAGGCGAGAATCCCCTCATGTGGCAAATAACTAAAAGTGGATATGTGACATTCGTTTGTAAACACCCTGCATTATCGTCCACCGCAACGTGAGCTTTTAACGTTTCTTGAAATAATTATTTCATAATGAATACTATTTTCTGTTTCCTTGTCTTTTTTGTTTCCTTTCTTCGTATAGGGCGATTGTTACCTTTGTCTCCCTGATGAGACATGATTGGTTCAACTTGCTCAAATCATGCTTGTCCAATGAGAATCGTAAATGAAAAAAAAACTTACTTCGAGGATCAACTATCTGGCCCGTAGCGAAATCCAGCCCGATTCGCAATACCAATAATAATAAACGATATCTAATTAATGTTCTGGCCCGTTGCGAAATTCAGTCCGATTCAAAATCGGGCTGGCCCAGTTCGAAATAAGCACATTTTATTT